AATGATTTATAAACCTTTCCATGATGCCAAATAATACCGAACAAAAATAACATGACAGCTTGACATGACTCACGCGTGATCTGTCAAAAAATATAAGTGTTTTATTCGTAATATATATCAATTGAATAAAAAAGCATGGAATTGCTTGTTCACGAAATAATGAAAATGTTCTCCAAAATGTAAGATTACATTTAAGTAGGGACCTGCATATTCTCCTATATGCATATATAGGAAGGTTTGAGGAACATTTCAGTTTCAATCAGTGCGTGTCGGTTATTTTCRTGCTCCCTCACACAGTCGCAGTTCCTTTCGTGCCGACCACTGCATTAGGCCAASAACCATACTTCGGTCCTTTGAAGACCGTGTGAGTAAAACACATAATTGTTTCTATTCGGTGCTATTGCACTTGATATTGGCGATCCTGCAAGACCTTAAGGTAGTCCTGCTCGCTTTGATCGGTCTATCAGCTTTTTCAGAAGTTTCTTTGTATACTGTTTTTAACGTCTTTCSGATTTTCTGTATTTGTTCGGTAGCAAGACGCATGGCACTTTCGGCAATYTCATAAGCTATTTCGCTTTCCGGAATTCATTTGTGGCTTGAAAACCAGTATACATAAAGTGACTTGATTGCCGCCTGGCTATCGRCCTATATGTTGGTCCTATTTATATTGATTCTTGCGTTGTTCGGTATTAGCTCAGSCCATTCCCTGACCGCGAAGATTTCCCATGGAAGATGCTGATGTRTTCGGAAAGCTTGTAGGGTCGCCTAAGATTCAGCTCCAAGCAGTAAATTCCGGCTCCTACTCCATTAGCCAATTTTGTTGCGTCTGTATCCTTCCCTTCTTATTGCGCTATGCCGGCCGCCATTTTTGCTACAAAGCTTTTCACTGCTACAGATATAGTGAACAACGAGTGGCTGTATCCTCTCCCTCTCTAAGGTTTTCTGTATGAGACGTTACTGTCAGTGGCCCACCAAACCAAAACACAATATTCTTCAATAATATTGATATAATTAATTTAATTGGTATATACATATGTGGGCCTACAATTAATTATGTAAATAAAAAGCGATAGCAGTTTGAGCTTTAATAATAAATAAATGAGTGCAATTATTGGAATGCGAAATGTTGACTTTAATAGAGATGCGCATTTTATGAATAATCATTCATATATGTATATGTATATGTTTTCTTCGTATACATTTATGCCGATAATGTGCACTCATATATAATCAACGTATGGCCATGACCTTAACATATATACAGGATCCGACAAAACTTTGTATACCCTATGAACGTAAGACCAATTATATAAGGTTATTTCTTTGGAGAAGTGAAATTTATTGCTTTGTTTGTTTTTCTATTTTCTTTATGGGTATATCCAATTAAAAAAAAATTAAAATTGTGGGGTTCGAGAACAAAAACAAATTTTAATTAATTAATAGGAAAATTGCTTCATTGTTTTCTAAAATATTCTCCATTAATATCTATATACTTCTGCATGCGTTTGCACCACTTTTCGATGCACTTTTGCCTGATGTTTGCGGTATCTATAARAAATAAAAAGAAGTCATTCGGTGCCAAGTCTAGACTACACGGAGTATGACTCATCAAATAGATGTTCTGAGTGCTCAAAAATGCAGTTGTTCAAGTCGATGTGTGGGAGCTAGATTTGTCGTGGCGAAGAGTAATTCATCCACGGCGGTTGGTTTTTCTGATTTCTTGAAAGACAACTGACAAACAAAAGGTTGTATACCACTCATCATTTACTGTTCTGAGTTTGCATGCAGCAGTAGTTKCCGTAAGAAGAACTGATTTAGCACGACCTTCACGAAATTTGTCTTGGAGTGATCTACGACCTCGATTGAATATATCATACCATCGATAGACACTGGTCCTTGTTGGTGCCTCTTCGTCAAAAATTCAATTAAGTTCATCTGTGCACAATTGATGAGTTAATCCACGTCGAAAGTTGTAAAAAATAATCTCGAATTAATTCCATTTTTTGAGCGAGTAGAATATTTTAAGTAACTATAAACAACACAAATAGCTTTACAGTAACATTGTGGGTTTCAGATTGCAAGAATACCAAATCCCGAAATATAAAAGACATCTGAAAAGAGGAATATTTAGCAGCGACGAAAGTTCTCTATGATCATTCTGAACAACTTAGCCTAAGAGACTATCGGTCTAAAGCAGTTCCGAGTCAGCGAATTTTAAGTAAGTAGAGACATGCATATTCTTCTATATGCATATATAGGAAAGTTTGAGGAACATTTCAGTTTCAATCAGCAAAAAACATCAATCATCATCGTCAACTATTTTTATTAGCTCCGAGCTSTATACTTATGCAGAGCCAAAGTCCTCAATTACTGCTTCATTGGTCTTTTTATACCCAAAAGGAAATATCCCTATTGTAGTATATGATAAACGTGACGAGCTGAGTTGATTTAGCCATGCCCGTATGTCTGTTTATACATACGTGACTAGTAATATAAAAAATTTTATTTTTTAATTTTTTGCAACTTCCACAAAACCTTTATTATCTTACTTTATATTCAATTATGTCTATGAAAATAGCACGCACATTATATATATGTTTGTATTTGCTACGCTGTTATTTGCTGATAAGTGTTCAAATAGTATACATATATGTATTTCAATAAAAAAGATTTTGATAGGCGTTTTGTAGCTGCGAGCAGTTTCCGCTTGAACTGTGTATAACTTAATTAGAGTTGCCAAATGAAATTCTACTAATTTAAATCTGGACGTGACGCCTTTATGAGAAATTCTTGGCAATTCTCTAGTACCCATAATGTGATGTGGAAAATGCGACAATTTATACGATCGAAGTAGTAGAAGGTAAAGTTTCCTTACTTCTCACTAATTCTTAAAGTATTTAGTAAAGTTCTTTTAAGTTTACTTCGAAAATTATTTCATGGGTAAACAGAAAGTTTTCAATTAAAGACTGTACCGTGGCTCGTCATTATTTTTACATAATATATAAATAGGTTGAAAATCTGCTTATCAGTGCCGCTCTAGGCAAGAATTAGTAATACTTTTTAATTTAAATTTCTCGCGAAAATCCATTCGCCGGTTTTCTGTGTTATGATTGTCGGTGACATCTGCGCCAAATGTCACATCACATATCAGACGCTTGTCTTTCGGAAGTACATACAGTGTTTGTCTGGAAAGTAATAGGACTGAGTCGATTTAAAAACGTTTATTGTATCAATCRTTACAATTATTTAAAAACTTTGAAAATAGGCTCCTCCTTCCTTTTGGCAAATGTGAGGCCAAGGTTACGTTGACAGTTTTCTTGTATTATCGAGCTGTGTTGCACTCCGAATTCCTTTCGACCTGCCAAACTGTAAACAAGAAATAATATTTGAGTGTTATGCGTCGTTTGCGCGAAGCTATTCGTAAAAGAAGACCGAAATTAGAGGCCGACAACACTTCGTAAGTTTTTCGCTAAATGTTTAGCAAATATCATACCGCAACCACCATATTCGACTAATTTAGCTCCATGAGACTTCTGACTATACAGCAAAYTCAAACCACAGCTCCAAGGAAACCATTTATGACATTAACAACTGTTTCGAGAATTGTAAGAAAACGTTGGCATTAGTGTGTGCTGCCAAGGCGGATTACTTTGAGGTGGTCGACATATTTTTTAAAAATTAAATTAAGGTTTTTAAAATTATGAACAAAATCTTACTATTTTTTGCTTGGTAGTGATATGTTAGCATTCCTGCGCAACAATTCTTTTGATAGCGCTTATACATTAAGGAAATGTCCTGATGCAACTCTTCGTCACTTACAGCACCCAGAAAAATATCTAGATGAGAATTCTGCATAAGTATTATTAAGGATATATATTACATCCAGAGCTTAATATGACATTGTAAGTTGATTTATTAAGACTGCAGTATTCCGACCAATGATTTCCTGCAAAACTTTGTCCAACAAAACATTTCCAGGCAAGTTTTTCTTGATCACTTAGTTTTTCTTCTAAGCTCTCACCTTTCATCAGTTGCTCTATTTATAAACCTACAAATCTTTCCACATTAATTTTTGAGTTTGGGGAATTTACAAATATACTGCCATCGATTTGGATGCTTTGGCACAGGCGATTCGGTACTATGTAAGGTTGATCTGTGGGCCGAAGAAACTTTGGTTACTGTCTCGTGTGTTTGGACTTGGTTGCAGTGTTTTCCAAACGGTCCAGACCAGTGCTCTTGTTAACCCAACCTAAAAGCTAATGTCAAAAACAAGTGTTTAGCTGGACAGCTGATTTGACAACTATCCATCGAGAAAATCCTATTCTTCTAAATTATACACTCTAATAATATCAAATATATCGGTTTACGAAATCTGACTGAAAAATTAGCTTACTGTTTTTAAATATACCTGTTCATAAGCATTTATAGTCCTTATTATTATTATATATGGTTTTCAAAAAAGTCTTGTGGTATCTTCGCTAGTTGGCGCAGAGAGCGCGTAGTTGTAGTTTTATTCGTCGCATCGGGTCATGCTATACCTGTTTGGAAAGCTCATTTCACGCGCTAACACGTGTTTGATTGATTGTCGTTTCTTTTAAGTCGTTCGTGAGTTATAGCGTTGCAAACATGGAGCAAAATAAAGAGAAAATAACGGCATATTTTACAGTACTACTACGATAAAGGCAAAAATGCATCTCAAGCCGCCAATAAAATTTGTGCAGTTTATGGACCCGATACAGTTTCCATTTCCAACGCACAACGATGGTTTCAACGTTTTCGTTCTGGTGTAACGGTAGTCAAAGATGCGCCACGCTCCGGAAGGCCTGTCGTCGAAAATTGCGATAAAATCGCTGAATTGGTCGAAAGAGACCGGGCATGAGTCATCAAAAAAAATTTTATGAACAATTCAATAAAAATACCGCAAGACTTTTTGAAAACCTAATATATAGTTTTTTTTTTTTGTTTTTGTTTTTTTTTATAATTGAATTTTATTTTTACAGTACTACGTTTGCTATAGAGCAGAATGGACAGTTCCCGTAAGCCAGAAAGAATCAATCCTCGGCGTCATGCAAATATACTGTCGCAAATACTTTTCGTTTGGGCTATGCCGCTGCTCTTTAAGGGCGCCAAAAATGGCTTGAACACAGATGATCTCACCAAGTGTATGCCAAAAGATAGCTCAGAGGATTTAGGAGATCGCTTGGAAGAGTAAGTAACAAATATTTAATAAACAATGAAGTATGCGCCAAGGTCACGTGCAGCCGGACGATTTTTACTCTCACAAAAGCCTGCAATTATTGTCTAGCTTTCAAAAACAGAGTAGAAATTTTATATAATTTTTTTTATCTTTTTTATTGGCGTAGACATGGGTTCATAAACCCATATACATAAACGTCGGGTTATCAGTTATTACGCGTTTGATAAATTTACAGCTCTTATCTACGTTGTCAATCACTGCTTTGCAAAAGATTAAATTCTTTTGGTWAGAGTAACATAGACACGCCTTATAACCAAAACATTAACCAAAAGTGCTGAGCTGATCCTTAAGAGATGTCTTTCGCTGCTATCGTCACTAACAGTGGTGGATAGATGACTCATCTGAGGCGAGTTTTCGAAGACTTCACMCAATGTTTTATCAAATACTTGTGTTCGTTATAAGGTAGACTCCCCAAAACAATTTATTGTATTGGCAGCATAAAATATCAGACAAACTGTTGTTAAATTTTTTTCCACGGTATAAATTGACAGACTAACTTTTCGCGTCGTAAATAGCTTCTTCGCTTGAAGAACGAAAAAAGCCGATGGATTGCCGGCCGAGCTATTCAAACTCGACGGTTAATAACTGATGAGAGGAATTGTAGAATATGGTCGGACGAAGCATGCCCGACGATTGGAATTRAAGTGTGCTCTGGCCAATCCACAAAAAATGAGACCACACAATCTGCGCCAACTACCGTGGGATAAGCCTCCTCAACATCACATATAAGGTTGTATCGGGCGTAGTGTGTAAAAGATTAAAGCCCATCGTCATAAAACTGATTAGACCTTATCAGTGGGTTCTCAGGCCTAATAAATCAACAGGAAACCAAATCTAGGAAAAGACCCGTGAAAAGAGGATTGACACAAAACACTTCCTCGTAGAGTTTAAAGCTGCTTTTGACAGCACCAAAAGSAGCTAGAKKCCGCTATGTCTGTATTTGRTGTTGCCGCAAAACTAATACGWCTGTGTAAACTGACGTTGACGCAATACCAAAAACTCCGTCAGGATCGGGAAGGACCTCTCTGAGTGACTTCCTTTCGTRCCAATYTACTCCTGGAGAAAATAATTCCAGCTGTAGATCTAATTAGAAAAGGTACAATCTTCTATAASRGTGTAAATCTGCTAGCGTACGCCGATRAAATTGTTACCATTGGCCTCAATAACCGCGCCATTAGTTCTGCTTTTTCCAGAATGGATAAGGAAGCGAAGCAAATGGGTCTGGAAGTGAACGTGTGCAAGGCGAAATATCTCCTGTCATCAAACAAACAGTAGTCGCACTCGCGACTTGTCTCCCAYGTCACTATTGACAATCATAACTTCGAGGTCATAGATAAGTCGAGATCAGGTGGAAAAGGACCTGGCTTCGCTTGGAATCTCCAATTGGCGCCAAGCAGCGAAAAGAAAGAACGACTGGTGCGCTGTTGTGAAGTCGGTTATTACCACGTAAGCGGTGTCTACGCCAATAAAGAAGAAGTAATATATTTGATAATAAGAAAATAGCGTACTTATCCTTAAAGTACGTATAAAGTTTTGAACCAAGGGCGAAAGTATTTCAGTACTAAAGGCAACCGTGTACCGGCCCCGGGCATCGGCAATTATCTTAAGTGCTTTGACTTCGACGTTTTTCCTTTGAAACTATGAATCAAATTAGTTGAAATGTATATTGTCCTAACTTTGCCTTTTTGCTTTCAGAAAATGGTATGCTGAAGTKGAGCGAGCACGTTGCAAGGGCCGTAAACCACTGCTACGTAATGCCATTCTGCGCACATTTTGGGTGTCCGCAGTTGTGGATGGCGTAATATCATTAATTTATATTGTCATTAAGTAAGTAAAAGRTGAAGTAATCAAAGAATCTTTAGACTTTTACTTTTCTACAAACTTAAATACATACATACCAGCGCCCTTATTTATATGTACATACATCCTTTGTTTGCGCTAACAGATCACTCATACCCGCTGTGTTGGCGCAATTATTGATGCAATTTCAAAAGCAAGTGTCACTCTCTTCAAATCGCTCAGCGAATGCAACAACAACAGCCACTGATATAGTGAATGAGACAAGCCGAGCGATACGGTCCATTGATGCAGCCGTGAAAAGCATGTCTTTGTTGTCGGCTGATGTTGGTGATGTGGCTGCTGGAAATGCTGGAGGAGGTAAGTGTACTGATGTATGGACTTCGGTTAGTATGCATTAAATTATTAGATCATAAACATTGTAGTGAAACAAATTGCGAAGAGGAGAGTCACCAATAAAAGGGTCAATTCGCTTTTTGATTTTCGTAATCAAAGCCACACCCTAACCGACATAATATAATATAATATTTATATTGAAGTTTAATTGACTGTCCATCCGTCGGGACGAAAGAAGAGAACTGTCGACTCTGTAGTATTCGTTTAATTTTTTAAAAATGTTTCTGCCAACAACAACAACAAGATGCAAGCCTTTATCGAGAAGGAAAATCCTATCTAACCAATAGTTCTGCTGATATAAGTATGTTGATGGTTAAAAAAGTTTTACCCAGCAACCTCAATTTGTCACTAACCGTTCTGAAAATACACAAATTAAAAAAAAAACTAGCTGAGAGTTTCGAATACTGAAACTTGGTACGACTATAGGTTCATATCCACTTGTTGCTTCTGAAGTATGCTCTCCATATAAGTCTACATAAACATCAGCTTTGCTTCATATTAATACCAACAGCATTTGACCAATCAGTGACTATCGACTAGACTATTTTTACGACACCGGAAAAATATCAGATTTATAATCCTCCAACTTTTTCTTACCATTTTGGTCAATATGCTACAAAAGAGACCTCAGTAAAGGTGATTAACATTTCATAGTCGCTAAATTTATTTCCAGTAAGCATTTTTTTGAGGTCTGAGTGGCGAAAAAAAGGGCTGTGCCCGGGTCCAGAGTATACCCCAGAGTATATTGCTATGAAGTATAAGTCCTTGTATATTTCATATTTTTAGAGTGTTAACTATATCGTACAAATTCACTTTATTATGAGGTTAGGTCGATCCCAACGGGGATCTTACTTATCAGCTTACAATACCGCTCCTTTGTGGTACCTAAAACTCATGAAATACTGGATCATTACACCTTTACAGGTGGACAAAGCGCTTTGAGCCTTTTTGAGACAACAATATCAGTTTCGGCTACGTCTCCTGGTTCTCCGAAGGTAAAACTACACAAATGTTCATCTCAGTCTTGCAACGGCTGGACAACGGAAGAGAAAGTGCCTGGATATTTGCTCCTCATTCTCYTCCATACAGCTTTCACAACTAGCGTCCGACAAGATTTTGAGCTTTACCGCATGAATGTCTATAGAACATTGTCSAGTAGGAACTCCTACGATTTCGGCAAGATGAACTTTGTTCAGTGCTATTAGTTCAGTTATCGAACAGCGCCAGCTAAGTGCACGCGAAGTTCATTATTCCAGTGGTAATATACAAGTTGCCAACGGAAATCCTATTCGTTCCCATTCCGATGTGAGCAAGACAAGGATGTCCCCTCTGGTTAGCTCATGGGACTTTGCAATTGCCAGCGCTTCCGGTATGACTAGACACCCAAACGAATCTGATGATAAAGTAGCTCGATGCTGTTTCTAGCAAAGACAGACATTCCTTAATTAGCTTTGAGTGCACAGYTAATGAACTCAGCACTAGTAATGCCACTTTGATTTCATAGTGAATGCTCACTTCCTTAAAAGAGGTTGCCCCTCATAGCAGTAGCTCTAACACTTCTTTGATTTCACCATTTCTGCCTGAAAACGACTACAGTGGTCCGTCAGCCTAGAGCTAAGATTGAYGGCGAGCTCCTTAAACAAAACTGCCTTTCCATCATATCTCCTCGGAAAAATACGTCGCGAGCGGCCTTTACGAMGCAGTGATCGTYGTTATCAAGTTGTAGTTGAAGGAGRAGAGCATTTTTGCATGTCTTTTGAGCTCATTCAAACTCATTTTAAGCGCCTTTTGTCATAGCCGAAAGTCACAAGGAGCTAAAGCCGGCGGATGCGGTGTTTGCGGCACGATATTGGTTGAAAGTTGGGCGAAAAACGTATAAATAGTATGTCGTTGTTGACAGTTTGGCCGATCGCTCAACCCAAYCATAATTTTTGGCCTGCTTGGAAATGGTTTTTTCGGCTTCGGCTCACACTTGCCACGATATTCGCCCGATTTTTTAACCAATCGTGTTTTCACTTTTCTTTCAAAATGATTTTGGGAAGTAACAGCTTCCGATATTCCAGCGATGCCAGTAAGATCTCTAACTGTTAATAATCGATTCTCAAGTATCATTCCTTTATTTTATTCACAGTYGATCATCAGTTGATGTTGATGGCCGAGAGGTTCGTCGTCAACGCGTTCTCGACCCTCTTTGAATAATTTTTACCAATTAAAATCACTTGCTCGCGACAAACAATTATCACCGAAGATCTTTTCCAACATTCAGAACGTTTTGGCAACAGAAATTTGATCCCGCACACAAAATTTCATGGAACTTCATTGTTGAATAATTTCACACTTCGTAAAAATCTTTGAGTGCTTTTTATGTACTTCAGAAAGACAAGCGTATATTAAACATCTAAACATTATTTTGATGTGATATTTGACACAGATGTGCCGTCAGTCATACCAACCTAAAAAAAATTAAATTAAAAGTCTTACTATTTTTTGCTCACAGTTCTTGTAGCTGTTTTCAAAGAATCCATTAAATTTGTGTCATACTTTATGAACGAAAAGTGGCGCCTGCCTGCTAAATACAATCATTAAGATGCTTCTTCTTCTAAGATTAGTTGGCATATTATTGCTTGCCGATAAATATTGTATATGCTATACATATATAATATACGTATGCATATAGAATCTAGTTCCGTTATGTTATGAGAGATGATTGATACCATCGTTGGCAATCATTGCTGTTCTTTGTAGTGCGCTGGGCAAATCTAGAGTACAGAAATAGTTGATACGTATCTATCATGTATGTATGGGCGTGAGTAATCTGCGGACAAAGCGAACCGTTTGCGTCAATTAAGTTGTCTGACAATTAGCCGAGTGCACAATTGATTGGCTTGCTCGAACTGATTACGACACTGCAATTGCTGATATCATTCAATAAATTTCTTTCATTACGATTTACTCATTTCTTCTTTGCTACATACACGTGCCAGTACTTACATACATATATGTAAATAAATAAATATTTGTTTTCTTTGCAGCATCATCTAACATCCTCGACGTCGCCGGAAAATCTGCAACAGATAAATTTTTSTTTGCCGATAATACAACTGAGCAACCTGTATTCAGTGACATCGAAGATCCACTATGGTTTGCATTCAACGATATTTATTGCTTGGGCACTATTTTGGTAACATCCACATTGCTGGGTTGTTTTCTTATACATCATGTGGATTTGAGGCAGCGTTTGTTGGGCGCACGCATGCGCATCGCTTGTTGCTCGCTGATTTACAGAAAGGTGAGTGAATATTTGAGCAATAAACGTTCTTGGTAGTTTCTCCTGGGTCCAGAATATATGAATTTATAACAAAAAATATAAAAATTTTTTGAAACCGATGTTTCGTTTCCAAGATTCCTTAATCGAAACGACTCTATACAGTTTGGTTGACATATCTATAGTAGTTTCCGAGATATGTACAAAAAAGTTAGTAGGGGGCGGGGCCGTGCCCACTTTTCCAAAAAAATTACGTCCAAATATGCCCCTCCCTAATGCGGTCCTCTTTATTTATGGCTTAAATATGACTTTATAGGCTTTCGGTTTCCGCCATTTTGTGGGCGTGGCAGTGGGCCGATTTTGCCCATCTTCGAACTTWACCTTCTTATGGAGCYAAGAAATACGTGTACCAAGTTTCATCATGATATCTCAATTTTTACTCAAGTTACAGCWTGCACGGACAGACGGACAGACAGACATCCGGATTTCAACTCTACTCGTCACCCTGCTCACTTTGGTATACATAACCCTATATCTGACTCTTTTAGTTTTAGGACTTACAAACAACCGTTATGTGAACAAAACTATAATACTCTCTTTAGCAACTTTGTTGCGAGAGTATAAAAACGGCTTAGGATATCAATGCAATTCTATATTCCCGTGGAAGTACATTTGATGACACTATGTAAGTAACTCGATTTCTTTTGCATGACCACCGCGGCCACGCTTGCAGAAGTACAGAAGCTCAACCCAATTTTTGACGATTTTCAAGCATAAATCGGCCGATACTGCTGCAATTTCACGTTCTATATTCGCACGAAGTTCATCAATCGTCGCTGGCTTTCAACAAACTTGCCTTTCATTAATTCGACTGTGACATTCGCTGTGTGGCTCGTGGCGCCGTCCGATTGGAACCACATATTGTCCAAGTCCATATTATCCAATTCCGACCAAAAATATTCGGTTATCATTGAGCGATAGCGATTCTCATTCACAGCAACGAGCCGGTCTTGATCATCACGGAAGAGGTACAGCCCAATGAGCTCGCCGGCCATAAACCGTAATTTTTTCGGCATGCAGTTGTGATTCATGGAGTACGTGTGGATTGCTTACCTTACCTGAAGATGATTTTGCCATGAAAATCCGGATCATTTTCAAGTTGTTGCTCAGCCCAATTCACGATTATGCGACTATTTTAGTGAGCAAGCGGCTCCAGTTCTTTCGTCAGTATGATCTTGTGAGGATGTAGGCCAAGACTTTTTCGCAAAACTCGCCCAACGACGTCATAGAGATGCCCAACGCTTTTTTAATTGATGCGCCAACGGCAGCAATATTCTAGTCACTACGAGCACTTCTTTGTCTCACTGGCACCGAAACTTTTTTTACTATACCTGTGTCCGCTAGGCGCTTAATTGTTGATCTGACAGAACGATTATGACGACCATAAATTGGACGTAGCGTCCTTAAGGGGTTAGGTGGGTTTCAGAGGTACAAAAAAAATAGGTATTTTTACGATTTTTTTTAATGCAAGCAATCATATATTTGAAAAAAATAATATGTTATATCAAAGGTATATATTCGAACAATATCTCCTGAAATTTCGATACAAAAATGTTGAAAATTCCGCCATTGAGACCGCATTTCCCTGGGTGTCTCCCAAAAAAGTACTCTCGCCATGGACAGCATAACTTATTATTGCTTCATATAAAATTAAAAAACTAAGCATATTCTGTTAGTACATATCTAAATCTCGTTTTTGAACGTATAAAATAAAAAAAAATATTAAAATTATCCTTCTTTTCTCGAACTTTGAACAAAAAATCTCATTTTTGGTAAACTTTTCGGCATTTTTTGGTCAGAAAAAAAGTTGTAATGAAACAAGAAAATATCCTTCGTTCAATAACTAGATAATATTATTTCAAAAACGTGTACACAATACGGTAAATCGGTCGATAACTTTCCGAGAAATTGTGTCCACTGACTTTAAAAACACAGTTTCAAGAAAAACGCGTTTAAACAGGGCACTTAGCGCAGCTAGCCTTGAGTGCACAAGTTCTCAAGGCTGTATCTCCGAAATTATTACTCAGATCAACTTTAAAATTTAGGACTATATTCTAGAGGTATTGTAGAATTTAATAAAGCAAACAAAAAAAATCGATTTTGGGGAATTTTCAAACCTACTTAACCCCTTAAAGATGAGGCTACTGACTTCGAATTTCGGTAGTAAATTTTAGTAACTTCGACACTTTGCTGGATCGTTGTATATCTCTTCATGATGAAATGACAAACTTCCTTGAAGAGAAATGTCGAAAGAGCATATATGGTAATAGTGATTAAAGCCGATTAGGAGATGAAATCAGCAGAAATTACCAACTGAATTCAACTCTACTACTAGATTGGATTTGTACAATTTTTAGGAGAGTATATTTAGATCAAACTTTTAAAAGCACTTCAAGAAAACGGTCGCTAAAAACAAATTGAGTGAAAATGAGGGTATTATCGCCGATTATCAGGTCTATTCTGAGTTCGAATTAAGCCAAAGAAAGGGGACAAAGCAGTCTGAAGTCAACTACTTAGGGAACTAAATTAGGGACCGATTATACATACAATACAAGGCTGTGACCATGTAACCTTAAACACTTAACATTTTTCAAAGTTTCTATTAACAGTATAATGTATTCGTTCAGTAAAAAATCCACCTCTTTACAAAGCACTGTAGAAACTTCTTCATTACCACTTCAGTTTTTTAGTCAAACCTTGTCRGAACAAGCTAAGGACTGAATATATATATCGTTTGAAGATTAGTTGACAACACTTCAAAGGAGAAGGTGTGAATAGGACGGCCTTAGAGAATAACAAAAGCCTTGATTTTCTCTTTATTTCAACCAACACTAAAAGTCTTTTTTTTTTTTTTTTTTAACTTTGCAATTTCCAATGTTTATTTTTTCCGTCTTTATGATTCCGTTATCATTCTTTAATTTCAGACACTTCGCCTCTCAATGCGCTCCGCTGGCCAAACTCCTGCCGGTTATCTAATCAATTTGCTCTCGAACGACGTTAATCGTCTTGACTACGGTTTCATCTACATGCACTGGATCTGGATAATGCCATTGAATGCCATGCTAATTTGCTATCTCATTTGGCTACGCATTGGTTGGGCAGCAGTTGTGGGCGTGGTCGGTCTACTACTTAAGACCATACCCGTACAGACCGGTCTCAGTAAATTGGCTTCCAAGTTGCGTATGAAAATCGCCGAACGTACCGATGCACGTGTCGGCATCATGAACGAATTGGTGCAGGGTATACAGGTGATCAAAATGTATGCATGGGAAAAACCCTTTCAGGCTGTAGTCGGCGAGGCGCGTCGTCGTGAAATCAAGCAAATTCGTTATGCATCATATTTACGTGGCTTCTATTTGAGTACGATGGTGTTTACGGAACGTTCCACACTCTATATAACCATTGCAGCGGCTGTGCTAATGGGTAATCAAATTTCAGCCGATATTGTTTTCTCTGCGGCCAGTTATTATAATATATTGCAATTGGTCGCCGCCATTTGGTATCCGCTTGCTGTGTCTTTCGGTGCTGAGGCATTAGTCTCACTAAATCGTGTCGAAACCTTCCTGCAGCAGGAGGGACACGACGACAAGGCACATGGGCTGACGCATAAAAAAGATGCCAAAACGAGCGAAAGCAGCGCCGCCAATGCCATTGTACTCAAACAGGTGAATGCGAATTGGGATCTGACGAAACCGCAGCATACCCTACAGGATATCAATTTGGAAATAAAGCGTGGCCAGTTGTGCGCTGTTATTGGTCCCGTGGGTGCAGGCAAGGTATGTTAAAAWWAWWTTTTTTTTTYACACTTTMAAGGCACTTTAAGCTAATAAAATATAATTTTTTTTTGCAGAGTTCATTGCTACAGCTGCTATTAGCCGAACTGCCAATCACAGATGGCGAAGTTGTCATACAAGGCGAACTCTCTTATGCCGCTCAGGAGCCTTGGCTGTTCACCGGCACTGTGCGCAATAATATACTCTTTGGCGAGCCTTACGATCGCAAGCGTTATAATGAGGTAACGAAGTGCTGTGCGCTTTCGACCGATTTCCAGCAGCTTAGTAATGGCGATAAGACAATTGTAGGCGAGCGCGGCGCATCACTGTCGGGTGGTCAACGTGCGCGTATAAGGTGAGTTGCGGTATATAAAGGGCATATGAATTRCGAAAAGAAAAAATTAACTGCRTTCGCAATGATGTTTCGGATTGAGCAGGCAATTGTCAAGTAAAGTCCTCTCTCAACGAACAAAGACCAAACTCTATAAGTCACTCATCATTCCCRTCCTGCTATATGGTGSSAAATATCGCAGTCGATGGAACGAGGAGCTGTACGAGATCTACAACGGCATTGGCATAGTCCAGTGAATTAGGAGACAGCGGCTGCGCTGTCTAATTCATGTCGTCGTAAAGGATGAAAACACTCCAGCTCTGAGTATTCGACGCAATATCCATCGGGGAAAGCTGGGGAAAAAGAAGCCCCCCACTCCGTTGTAAAGACCAGAAGGAGAAGAACTTGGAACACTTGGAATCTCCAATTTGACGACAAACAGCGAAAAGGAAGACGACTGACGCGCTGCTGTAAACTCAACGAATAATATATATATATATATATATATATATTTCATAGGGTATCCGACGATTATACACTTTGCGATAGGGTAGAGTTTTTCAAATGAGTTTGAGGTTTCTTAAACAGTGCGAACTTTAATGATACTGTCCTTCAAAAATCAATTTTTCTAACTCTTTGCTTTGAAATTTTCCAGCTTGGCACGTGCGGTTTACAAACCAGCTTCCATTTATTTGCTCGATGATCCGTTAAGCGCCGTCGATGCACACGTCGGTCGTCACCTTTTCGACGAAGTACTTGGACCACGCGGTCGTTTGGCCACTGAAAAGGCCACACGTGTGCTGATTACCCATCAAGTGCATTTCTTGACCGAAGCCGATTGGATTGTGATCATTGAAAATGGWCGAATCTCACGGCAGGGTACCTACGAGGAGCTGTCGAAAAGTGATCTAGATTTTGCCAAATTACTTGAACGCATAAAGGAGGAAGATGAAGCGCTCGAGAGTGAGAACGAATCGATTTTATCACATGAAACCACCTATGAGGATGAGGAAATTCCTTACATTGACGGTGTGCGTGATGGTTATCAACCGCTGCGTCGTACCAGTCGTAGCAGTCGCAACAGCGCTAATAATGATGGTTCGCTAACGAGAAAATCGGCAAGTTTGGCTTTGAGCTCTGAACAGGATCTCTCCGATGATTCTGGTTTGGCGGAGGACCAAGCGRAAGGCGGTGTCTCCGGACGYGTTTGGTGGGAATATTTCCGCGCTGGCAGCGGTGTATGCGGTCTAGTCTTTATGACCTGCGTCATGTTGTTGTCACAAGTGGTTTGTAGCGGTTCGGATTATTTCGTAAATATTTGGACGCAACAAGAATACTTGCGTTCGCTCAGTAAGCCCACGACCTTCACCACCTTTGAGTGTTTGTATATATACGGCGCACTCATCRTCGCCGTTGTTCTGGTGAGTAAGCCAAGAATGTAAGATCAAAGAAGTTTTTTTTTCTATCTCTCGCATTCTCACAGATGACCGTATTTCGTGGCTATCTCTTCTTCAAAGTCTGTATGCATGCCTCCAAAGTGCTGCACGATCGCATGTTCGGCTGCATACTCCGTGCAACAATGCGTTTCTTCGACACCAATCCCTCGGGTCGCATTCTAAATCGTTTCTCCAAGGATATGGGCGCCATTGATGAGTATCTACCCAAATCTATTATGGACTTCATACAAATCTCTTTGGTTATGTTTGGCATATTGATTGTGATCTGTGTCGTCAATCCCATTCTGCTGTTGGCCATTTTAATTGTAGCCATAGTTGATTATTGGATTTTACAGTTATATTTGCGTCCTTCGCAGGACCTTAAGCGCTTGGAGGGCATTTGTGAGTTCGATATAAAAAATTATATACACAATTATTACGGATATTATTATTAACTTTTGATCTCACTTTACAGGTCGTAGTCCAGTCTTCTCTCATCTCTCCGCCTCACTATCCGGCATTGCGACTATACGCGCACGTGAATTACAAGATATTGTCATAAAGGAGTTTGACAGTCTACAGGATGTGCATAGCGCCGTCTGGCAACTGACAATGGCTGCAAATACGGCATTGGGCTTGTGGTTGGACTGTGTCAGCTGTTGCTTTCTTGCCTCGGTGACATTTAGTTTTTCGTTAATGGGAACTCGTAAGTGTTGTGCGTTATAAAATAAAAAAAATATTTAATCTATATGTCTCTATATCTTAATATAGATACGTTTTAAGCATGCAGCCTAAATGTAGGCAACGTTTTATATTTATTATTTAAAAAAGGGTAGTTGCGGTAAAACTCGTAATACTCCATTAAACTCGTACTTTTTCTATATAATTATGACGTTTGACTTACTTTATCCATATTCCAACACACAATCGAAGAATTTCGTGAAAAACATTCACAAATTTACAAATACAACTTCCGTGGATCGTAATTACGCCAAGTAAACCGAAATTCAAAGTTAAGGCCCGTCATAGATCTCCTGGTGCATACGTTTTAGCGATATATTGATGTCTCAAATCACTCAAAGGTATATAGGTTCAAGACCTCAGTGTAAAAATTGCAGCYGAGTTTACTACAGCACGCCAGTCGTTTCTTCTTGAGGCTTACATTGTTTTTGACATGGATACTGATTACAAGATAGACGAAATTATCTACGCCTTTAAAGTTATGACTGGTATAGTGACGTGAGTGACTGTTTGTTTGATGACAGGAGATATTTCGTCTTGCCCTCGTTCACCAACAGACCCATCTGTTTCGCTTACTTATSCAGTCTGCGAGAATACCAAATTCAAACATCGCGGCATAAGGGTTGCTCGTTTTCGTGCTGTCGAAAGCAGCTTTGAAATYGACGAAGAGGTGGTGCGTGACGATTCTCTTTTCACGGGTCTTTTCTAAGAGTTGGCGCATGTTGAAGTTTTTTCCAAGAGTTGGGTCAGTTGTTAATTTTCCAGGCCTAAAGCCTCACTGATAAGGTCCAATCAGTTTGTTTACGGTGGGCTTTAATATTTCACTCAATACGATCTATAGAACCTTATATGCGATGTTGAGGAGGCTTATCCCACGGTAATTGGCGCAGATTGTGRGGTCTCCCTTTTTGTGAATTGGGCAGAGCCCACTTAAAGCGAAATAGTTGGGCATGTTTTCATCCCATCATATTCTACAAAGAAGCTGATGCATGCTCCTTATCAGYTCTYCGCCGACGTATTTGAATARCTCGGSMTATAATCYATYCGCAYCGGCCACTTTGTTGTTCTTCATTTCAGGTAATTACTATTCGAACTACTTCATGGTCGGGCAATGGAACGTCTGGTCCATCGTTATCGATTGGTGAATCGGGTTCGCCTCCATAATCCATCGCTAGATCACATCTCGGGGTTCTACAAGAGTATGCTCTGGTCTTGAAACCGTTAGTTGGTCGCCGAATCTGTTCATAGAATTTATCAAGCTCTTCGTGCTTACGCTTTTCGGCCTCTCTTCGTCGCTTTCCTCTTTAACTCTCGGTATATACCCCATCCCGCACGTATTGTGATTGATTGTAATGTTGCGAGGTAAGCAGTCTGCTTTCTCTCCGCTGCGTCACGGCACTACTCATCGCACCAGCTGCTTTTTGCATTTTCCGAAAGCCAATGGTTTCCATTTTATATATTGTATACCTGTCTCTTATACACATCTAGATGTGTATAAGAGACAGAGTATGCTCTGGTCTTGAAACCGTTAGTTAGTAGCCGAATCTGTGCATAGAATTTATCACGTATTGTGATCGATTGTAATGTTGCGAGGTAAGCAGTCTGCTTTCTCTCCGCTGCGTCACGGCACTACTCATCGCACCAGCTGCTTTTTGCATTTTCCGAAAGCCAATGGTTTCCATTTTATATATTGTATACTGTATACGTAATACATAATACATAATTTATTTACCGTGTTCTAACCACAAACAACAATTTTTTTTCTTATTAGAAACCTTCAGCGGCAACGTAGGTTTGGCCATCTCTCAAGCCATGATACTCACCGGCATGGTGCAGTATGGCGTACGCCAAGTAGCGGAATCTCTACAACAGATGACTAGCGTGGAGCGCGTACTCGAATATACTGATCTGGAACAAGAATCGGAAATTAAGAAACAACCACCGCCCACTTGGCCCACACACGGGCAAGTTGAATTTAAGGATCTATCACTACGTTACGATCCCAACAATCCACCAGTGTTGAAACACTTGAATATCACAATCGAACCCAGTTGGAAGGTGGGCGTGGTTGGACGCACTGGTGCCGGTAAGAGTTCGCTTATTGGTGCRCTCTTCCGTCTCTCGCAGCTGGAAGGTGACATCATGGTCGATGGCATTGAAACCGGCAGTATTTCGCTGGAGGCATTGCGTTCGAAAATTTCAATTATACCACAAGATCCGGTGCTATTCTCCGCCACCATACGCTACAACTTAGATCCGTTCGATAAGTATGGTGATGCTGATTTGTGGCGCGCGCTGGAGGACGTGAGTTTGCGATATCTCTATTATATTTTATGTATGTTATATGTGTTTGTAAATGCTTTTAGGTCGAGCTGAAGGGCGCCATACCCGGCTTGGATTATATGGTGACACAACGCGGCAGCAACTTCAGTGTGGGTCAACGTCAGCTGTTGTGCTTAGCGCGCGCCATTTTGCGCAACAATAAAGTGCTCGTGTTAGATGAGGCCACCGCCAATGTGGATCCACAGTGCGTAGTGCAATACTCGTAGTTTCCGAATTTAATTTCTACTTATTTACATTTTTTTTGTTTTTTTTCAATACAGAACCGATGCGCTCATCCAAACCACCATTCGTACCAAATTCAGGCATTGCACTGTGTTAACTGTGGCTCATCGTCTACACACCGTTATGGATTCAGATCGGATTCTCGTGATGGATGATGGTCGTGCACGCGAATTCGATATACCRCACTTGCTGCTGAAGAAGCAAAACGGCGCTTTGCGTCAGATGGTCGATGCTACRGGCGCCGAGGCAGAATCACTTAAGAAAATCGCCAGCGAGTCATACAATATGAAGCAACGCGCTTAAATGTGCCTGCAGCTGTTTTGTAATAGTTCTAATTGAAAACACGACACGTTAACGGTGCTAAAAAGTGACAGTTTTTAAATAGCGACGTGCTCAAAAATTGATTTTACGCATGCGTAGTTAATGCGAATGTACAATATAAGTGAAACTAACTGCCTTTATATAAGAATAGCATAGTTTTTAGGGAATTTTTTAACTAATGTGACTAGCTTATTATATGAGGGGACACTTTAATATAAAATAAAAAATTACATACACATGTACAAACATACATACATACGTACATATGTRCTAAAGAATATTAAGTCTTTTTTGCMTAACAGCGAATTTATTTTGTTAGTCTCAGCCTCCATTTTTGTTACTGTTTTCGAAAAGTGCATGCATATGTTCCAAAAGCAACGCTATATTGAATATTTTTTATTATAAAATTAAGTTGTTGTAAAAAGAATTACTTCAATTTTTTTATCATCTAGATTCTCTGCTAGAGAAGCAACTTATAAAGTTAGCTCTTAAACGCGAACTTAAAATGAATATTTCGCATGTAATTCGATTGTAAAGCAAAATACTTCTACTTTGTACTTTTATATTGCTTTATTTTATTAAAAAATTAATTTTACTTTTATAATTTCAAAGTTTTTTGTTAATATATTCTTTTTTGCTAATAAATTTTTTCTTTTGTATTTATTTTAATTTTATATTTTGTATTTATACATAAACATGTATTTATTTTTCTCTTTATTGTTTTTTTCCTTTTTTATGTATTTTGTTTGTTAGTTTTTGATGTATGATTTGTTTTTAAGTTTGTATTTTTTTCAATATTTTATTTTTTTAATTTATTTTCATATTTTTTTAAATTTAAAATGTAAGAAACTAG